TTCTGGAGGGTGACTACTTTTGTTCCCCATGGTCCCTGTGTGTGTTGTAAAGTAGTCACCGCTCCAAGCTCACTCCCGGGATGGACTACAATCTCAGTATAAATGAGTAAACTAAACATGAGATTGTAGTCCATCCCGGGAGTGATCTTGGAGCGGTGACTACTTTATAACACACACAGGGACCACGGGGAACAAAAGTAGTCACCCTCCAGAAAAAGGACAGTGTCAGCACCAATTCAGAGATGATTGGAGGATCTACAGCCGAGTGATACACAAATAAGATACATTGTTGTTAATAGTTCAGGTACTTGAATGTATTTTTAGGATTTAACTCCGGAGTTTAATGTCATTTTAAGTGTGATTCTGTGTGAGCTTGTTATGTTTTATAAGGCACTCTGTAAAGCACGTGGGTGCAAGAAGGAGAAAGTTAAAGAAACACCATACACGGTATCTCTGTAAAGGTGCCCGTACACCTTACGACCATCGCAAGACTTTTGTCTTGCGATGGTCGTATGCTCATTAAAAGCCCGTACGATCTGCCCACCTTGGACGGGCAGATCGTACTTGCGATCATCGGAAGCCCGCCCCGCTGAGGGGCGGGCTTCCGATGATGGCTGGTTTTCTAGCATGTTGGCTCGACAAAAGACGTGCGACCGTACAGTAGAAACGGTCGCACGTCTTAGTTCACACTGCTCGATTCTCGTACGATCGCGGGATTTCGCCCGATTCTCGTACGAGAATCGAGCAGTGTATGGGCGTCTTAAGGGATCCCTGACCCCCAATGACCCTTTTATACTCACTTTACCTGCTCTTTCTTGCTGCTCCTTACTTTGCCTCAGCTGGCACTAAAATCAGTGATGTTGGTGACCCGGGGGAGGGGTGACATCACTCAGTTGGTCATGTGACAGTGCCCAGGCCTAGCAACTGGCTGCTAGGTTTGACCACTGTCACAGGGAAGCTGATCACATGCTCCATAAAGACCCAGAGGTGCTAGACTATGTCACTGGCTTGCATGACAGTGTTTATATTGTGAGGGTTAGAACCTGTCAGGTTTTGATAGCTGGAGTCTGTATCATCACTGGAGGGATTAACCTTTTTTTTTTCTATAAGACTTTTGTTATCAGGACAGAAAGTGACTGGATTACACATTTTTAGAGTTTCCAGCAGAACAGGAGGTTGGAGGAAATCTACCAATGAGGACACCTGATTCTGGGACAAGAGAGGATGTTCCTTCACATTGGGGAGAATTCCTCTTAATTACTATAGTTTGTCTGTGGCAGGAACTGAAGGGAATCCCTCCAACGGAACGCAGAGATTAACAACAAAAAAACTCAATGAAGTTAAACTGTCCCTACTTTTTCAAAACGAAAAAAATCAGCCCACCCAGCAGAGTATTTCTACACAAGGTTTATTAATCAATCACGCCTGATTAGCTCAGAGACTCTGGAAAATGTTCAGCCGATATAGTACTAGATGGGGATTTCATGGTCAGATTGTGATTGGCCAACTATGTTACCCCTTCTGTTGTTGACAGTTTTATATGCCCCTCATCACCTTTCATCATCTCGTGGAGTCACGAGGCGGCCCAACCAAGTACTGATGTGGGGTAATAATAATCTGGCCACTCAGTGTATATGTCTGGTCAGTGAACTATGCTCATTCAGCTGAAATTAGCACAAATATTTATGTAGGAGTTGCACTGAAGAATGATCACTTGGTGGGGTCAGGTTATATGGCCATCATCTCATGTATATGATTAGCCTCAGTGTCATACTGATACACGCACCTGTACAGAGGAGCATGGGTGGTCCAACCCACATGTCCAGAATTGTGCAGCTGCACGAGGGCCCTATGGGATTTTTTTTTTCGTGGGCTGATGCTGTGACCCCCTACTCAAAGCCACATAGATCCTAACACTGCTATGTCCTAGGAAGAGCAAGAAGCAAGATGCATTGTTCATTTGCTATCTACTGTACCTATGTCCTAAAGTATTTTAGACATTTCCTATCAAAACAAAGTTAAAAATTATAATTGTAGGCACTTATAATAAGTAAATAATACATTCAAGAGTACCTTGCAACTAATTCAAATTCTCTGAACAATCTTAAAGGAGAACTATGGGGTTAGGGCTTTTCCATAATGTTCTCCTAAGGGTAACGGGATGACACAAACTAGCAAAGCTCAGTATATTGGCAGCTACAGCTCGCGGTAGACTGAGACGCCGCAGCCGGAACGGATCCACCCAGCTGCGTGAGTGACAGCTGGCTCTGCCTATCTAGAGGCAGAGCCAGCTGTACCCGCCCCCTCCCCCGTCAGCGATGGAGGATCGGACAGGGAAGGGATCCCTGCAGGGAGCCGTGAGTGACAGTCACGGCTTTCTACACGGATAGATCGAGAAGTGAGCGAGCGCCGGTATGTGTTCGCTTACTTCCCGATCTACTGAGCCGACCTGTGACAGTATCATTGTCACAGGTCGGCTCAGATTATGAGGCTGAGTGAAAATCACTCGCCTCATAATTCTCCTTTAAATCCCCCCATCTGACACCAATCCCCTCCCCATTTCCCACAGATATCAAGGCCAGGGCGTTATTACTTCTGCTGACTCTCTTCACAAGAATATTGTTAATTTTACTTACCAACAATGTCAGGCATTTATTTTCCTTCCACTGATAACTGATGATGGGAGATTTTCCCCCCACTGACCACCAGCAAGGAACACATTTTTTTTTCTCCGACCGACCTCCAATGCCAAGACAATTTTTTTTACTGAGATGTGTTCTGTAGTCCTAACAAACCTCCTGTCCTAGGATGACCACGCCGGTCCTCCATAGATACAGTGCAGTGACTGAGATTTCTCACCCTAGGACAGGAGATGTGTTACTGGCAGGATCACCAGGAATAAAAGCCTAAAAAAAATAATGGAACTGCCTTCTTTTTTTTTTTAAATAAATTATTTATTTTAAGTTTTTCCAATGCAATACAAAAACAATAAGTACAAATGTATAACAGTGGAGCAGATAAGGGAAATCAAACACATATCACCAGTATGGGATAACAGAATGTTGGTATGAACAGTTTATCTTGTCCTATCCCGGCTTGAACTCGGATAAATCTGCCTCATCGAACCACTAGAAATCAGGGAGCTGAAAGCACATAGCATTTCCCGCTCTTGTGAGATTGGTGGGGAGGGGAAGGGAGAGAGAAGAAAGGGGAAGAGGAAATGGAACTGCCTTCTAACTGGTAAACTGCAATGTATGACATTTTTGTTCTTGGATTTAGAAACAGTTTAATTTTACAGTCCCCATGAATCCAGTGCACTCTTTCAAAATGGAAAAGGTTTGCCAAAATTTTTCCAAGTGCACCGAAATTCCAGAATGGGAAACCCCTGAGATTTGCTCATCTCTTGTGTTTCTTCCAGTTCAGGTGTACAGTGATCATGATACAAATAAAAAGGAGTCTTATGATGCTTATGGGCGATTCAAGCTCCAATACATCCAGGTGTTCTCTAGAAGGCCAACAGAAGCTACCAATAACTATACAGTTTGTACGTTGGCCTGAAAGTTGCAGCTATCATTAAAGATAAGTTGTAGTCCACAAATGATATACACCAGGGGTGCCCACAATTTTTCCTCTGGAGATCTACTTTTCAAATGAGGAGCTCAGTGAGATCTACCAACGAAAAAACACCTTTATTTAAAAGACTGGGACTACTGCCTCTCTTTTTCCACGCTCTCTCTCTCTCTCTGCTGTCTCTCTGTTGGCCGGTTCACACCACAAAGTCTGTGTTCCAGAGCTTTCGGCCTCTGGAACGCAAGCCGGCCGGCTCCCTGCATTCAGGGGCGGGAGGTGGCGTGACGGTGCATTGAAGTCAGTTGCACCACAGCCACGCCCCCCGCCCACAGTGCGATCGCCCGCACCCGAAACACAGGCACATTAGTACCTTCATTTCCGGTCCAGTGCGATCTGCAAAAATGCTGCAAAGCCGAAGGCTCTGGAACGCAGACTTTGTGGTGTGAACCGGCCCTTTCTCTTGACTGTCTCTTCTCTCCTCACGCTCTCTCTTCTCTCTCTCCTGGCTTTCTTTCCTTACCTGCACTGCAGCAGCTTCCCAGGTCTCCTCATGTGCGCCGGCCGCCCTGTCCTCCCACGGTGCTTGTGTGGCCGATGTTGCACACGGGGAGTGTGCCTCTTCCCGTCTGCAGTGTCTGACACATTCAGCCGCACTAGCACCATGGGAGGGAGTTTTGGACAGTGAGCCGATCGCTTTCTACCAATGTTCGCTTTTTACGATCGACTGGTAGATCGCGATTGACCTAATGGGCACTCCTGATATAAAGCAGAACATTTCGGTAGCACATCAGTATCGGTAATATCATGTTTAGTTTACTAATTTATATTGAGATTGTAGTCCATCCCGGGAGGGAGCTTGGAGCGGTGACTACTTTACAACACACACAGGGACCATGGGGAACAGACGTAGCCCCCCTCCAGAAGGAAGGACAGTGTCAGCACCAATTCAGAGATGATTGGAGGATCTACAGCCGAGTGATACACAAATAAGATACATTGTTAGTAATAGTTATGGTACAATAACTCATGAGTTTAGTGTCACTCCAAGACTGGTTCGTAACAGAATCTTTTATATATTTGTATTTTATGTATTTGCTTGAATCTTTTCCTTAATAGTGACAAGAAGGGGGTTAAAAATCAGCTTTCTCATATAAATTATGGTTTAGTTCCATTGCTCAGTAATTGAAAATAGAAATAATTTTCTGTGTGAGGTGTACCAGGTTCTTGGGAATACAAATGAGAAGTACGGGCTATTAGGCTGGGACAGTGTCAGAGATGATTGGAGGATCTACAGCCGAGTGATACACAAATAAGATACAGTGTTGTTAATAGTTCAAGGACTTGGAGTTACTTTTAATAGTTCAAGGACTTGGAGTTACTTTTAAGGTTTAACTCCTGAGCTTAGTGTCACTGCGGGCAAAACCATCCCCTTAACGAGAAACATCCAAGCTTGAAAACACTTTCACAAACGTCCTTTTAACCTCCCTGTTATTCAAACTGTAGATAAGAGGATTTAACATCGGTGACACAACCACATAAAATAATGAGACATATTTCTGCTGATTAGACGAGTACTGAGATGAGGGTCCAAAGTACATAATCATGCTGGTCCCGAAGAACAAAGACACCACGGAAATGTGGGAAGTGCAGGTGGAAAAGGCCTTCGACCTTCCTGCGGAGTGAACCTTTAATACAGAACATATAATACAAACGTACGATACTATAATAAACACAAAAGGGAGAAGAAGCGAAATAAAACTGGTCGAAAATATGACCAGTTCGCTCAGGTAGATATTACCACATGCCAGTTTAATGACAGCTAGAACCTCGCACACAAAGTGATTGATCTGGTTTGGGTAACACAACTCTAGGGGCATCAACAAGGACGGGAGCAAATATATTACAAAGCTCGCCGTACACATGAAGGCTGTGAGGATATAGCAAACGCTCCATCTCATAAGGACCGTATAGTGGAGAGGGCGGCAGATGGCTACGTAGCGGTCGTAAGCCATAAGAGCCAACAGGAGGCACTCAGTACCTCCAAGAAGTAGTATCATATAAAGCTGCATGGCGCAGCCCCTGATTGAGATGAGGCCACGTACGGACAACAGGTCTTCCAGTAGTTTTGGCACAACAGTCGAAGAGTAAGACAGGTCTAGAACGGATAGAATGCAGAGGAAAAAGTACATCGGGATGTGTAAGCGAGGGTTAAAAAAAATGATGAATATCATAAGGCCATTCCCAACAAACGTGATGACGTACATAACAAAAAACAATGGAAACAAAGCCAGGTTCACATTTCGATTGGTGGAAAATCCCAGCAATATTAATTCGGTGGCTATTGTCCAGTTCCTGGAGTCCATCACACGGAATGCTGTAAAAAGGGTGATGGATAACAGTATAAGTGTAATAGGATTCTGACCCCGTAAGCAAGCCAAAGTTTCTTTATGTAAAGTGTTAGAACCTTTGTTAGGTTTTCATTGCCAACTGTGGTACAGAAATGGTAAGCGCTCTACTGCAATCAAAGGGCAAAGACTTATATAAAAAAGAATGGACGGATGGTTCTTAATTGAAAAATACTTTGAATATTGTACATATAAGTACATACAGACCTCTTACTACTGGTTCTGCAGGCATGCAGGGCGGTGCTGTTGTTTGTAGTCCTCCAGGCATGTGCTCTGAACCTGACTCACTCTTGCACCAGTCTGGCAGCTTTAGGCGTCTGCCAACCTCTCCTGCTGTTTCTTATGCAGCTTCTCGGCCAATCAGTGAAGTCTGCTTGCGGCCACTCCTGTGGATCCCCCCTCTTCCTGTCTCTAAACCCAGGGCAGAGAACGGCACGCTGCCCGAGCAACGCTTTCCTAAGCTAGATGCCGAGCCCTCCTGGTTGCAAATGAACCTGAATTCCTTGAAGTTTAACTGTGTTGTGACCGTTGGCTGGTCCCTGGAAATCCTTGTCCTCAGTCTGCCCTGAACTTTGACTTGTCCCTAAAACAATCCTAGTCTTCAGATTGTCCCTGGAAGTCCTGGTCATCCGTCTGTCCCTGATTTTTGTTTTGTCCCTTGTGTGTGTCTCTGCAACCTGTCCAGAACTGGCCTTGTCGACCATTCTTGGCTGTTGGCTGGTGAGTTGGGTGAATCTAGGTATTGTGACCTGGGGTCAGCACACAGCCAAGCCCATCTCCACCATCAGGAGCTCTGGTGAACTCCGCTGGCACTTAGATTCCACATCCTAGTGAAAAACATGCCACCTACCTAGCATTGTATATAGGTTGGAACATGTAAATGTTTTAAGTGTAACTCCAGCCAAAAAATTTTTGTTGTTTTTTTTGAATAGCATAGGAAAAGGATAACCCCCTGTAAAGTTTGTTTGGCTGTGTGTGCCCCTGTTCAGAAGATTTCACCTCACTTTCTGTCCCTGTTGACAATTTGATTTTGAAAATGTTGGGTTGTCGTGGAGTGCAGTAGCATTACAACTACCTTTGCTGTACAATAATAGCCTCTGTTTGTAAGTAGGAGTCGTATGTAAGTCGGGTGTATGTAACTCGGGGACTGCCTGTATGTCTACTGCTTGCTAGCCTAATATATATATATGCAAAAAAAAATACCTGAGGGTTTCATAAACTTTAATAAAACATTGGTAAAAGAAAAAGCTTTGACTGGACATTTGCTTTAATAGAATAACATATACCGTGTTTCCCCGAAAATAACACACTGGGGTTGATTTACTAACCTTTTAAACACACCACGAACGTGTATACACCTCTGTAGTGTGTTCCCTCCCAGCATGATCTATGGGAGGAATCGAAACACCTTTGTAGTGTGTACACACCCAGCAGGTGTGTTGTGCAAAGCCCTGCAATGAATTGCAAGGTAATGTGGTGTAAATTAGCTCTATGTTATGTTGCTTGCGTTGATGAATGCAGGAATGTAAATGCATGAGCTAACCATTTTTGTCTAAACTGTGAAGCAGCATTATATATGCATCATGTGCATGATTTTTCCATATATGGCATTAGTGGAAATATGCTTTTAGAGACTTTTTGGTTGATAAATACAATTTGCTGTGTGAAAATCACACACACCTGGTGTGTGTGTGTGTTTAGGTTAGTAAATCACCCCCACTGTCTTATATTTTTTTTGCCCCACAAAAACACACTAGGTCTTTTTTTTAATGTGCAACAAAATGTACAACAATCCAAAGTTATCTGGTATCACTCCTTCATGTCGCAGTACCGGACAGCGGTACCAGCAGTGCGGACACCAGACAGTGGACAGCGCGGTAGAGTATGGTACCATTTACCGGTGCACATTACAGTAAGGTACCATTAAGCAGTGCCTTCGGGGGACAGCAGTTGGTGAAGTTTGGTACTGGAGTGCTCCCTGTCACTGTGCCGGCCGGAAGGAGTCCCCTGTCATCCCGATACAGTATGTCCCTGCAGGCTGATACCATCTCTCCTGCAAGTTCCCCCTCACATACTATCACCAAACTAGGTCCTACTTTTGGGGTAGGTCTTATTTTCGGGGAAACAGGGTAGTACTAGAGATCCCCAAACACAATAATGTGAATACTTCAATGTGATGGCCTAGATTACACCAATAAAGTAATACACATATTTTCAATAAAAAAAAACAATTGCCCCGTTGTCAAAGTTCCCCATCATGCTGTCATCGGACACAACCCCAATTGAAAAACCATTGACGAGTTTTCACACCCCAACATTTGTGTGTCATACCTTCTTAACAAAAGAAACAAAACATGATCCAAGTCATTTTTGCCATTTCAGAATGATTTGGAAAAGGAAAGGGTTCTGGTCCGGACAGTGAGACTGGCTTCACCACAACCCAAGTGCATTTTCTGCAGGACATTCTGCTACATGCACACAGTCATGGGTGATCTTGGGAGAATATATAGCTAATGCAAGATCTCCTGAGACCAATTATTTTAATAATGAGACGACATCTAAAAAAACATGACAAATTAACAGCCTGGGGATACAGATATCAGTGACAAACAATTCTATACGGTCTGTATTCTGCATTGGTCTACCTCTTGCTGGTTAACCATTTGTTCAGTTTCAAATGTAGCTATCTGCAAAGGACATACCTCCTGAGACCCAGTCTATTATACTACCACGGTTATTCACTGGTGGTTTTATGGTCACAAAAGGGTGAAGAGTCTGGAGAAGGCAGGAATAGTGCACAATCTAAAAAATTGGGAGAAATGTCCCCTAGTGCAGGTGAGGGTAAGGTGAGGGTAAACAAATGTGGGTTGCGGTACTTGGTGTGCGGCTCCTAAAAATGCGGACCAGGGTGTCTGACCTTTTGCTAATGCGCTAGTACCCACTCCCTGGTAAGTCATATTCCCTTATTTTTTTCTTGCTTAGTCACCACTTGGTAGTGCACTTCTGTATTTCTTGTCTTCTTAAATAGTGAACAATCTAGGCCAGAATAGCTGATTTGGATAAATTCTCCAATTCAGCTCACTTTCCGCCTCAGGTATGTTGGCCTAGATTGTTCACTTCTCCAGCCTTCTCCAGACTCTTCACCCTTTTGCTGAATAACCCTGTGTATGTGTTTGTATAGTTTTATCCCACTAGATGGGCTTTAAAGGAGAACTCTACTTCACTCTACTATGGGAAAAAGCCCTGACCCCATAGTTCTCCTTTAAGAAATACTAAGACGTCCATCTAGTGGCTAATCTATCATTTCTACATATTATGCAATAACACAAATATGGATGAGCAATGTAAAGTGGTGGATATTGATCTCAAAAGTTACATGAAAGTGGACCAGAAAATTGAAGATTTGCCATGTTATAGGAAAAATCTAGAAATATTAGGTAAAATATATAGTCAAAACATTTTTCTAGTTTTGGGTAGCGCTGCTGATTGGCTGAGCCACTAAACATCTGTAACACAGAATTCCACCTCTCACAGATACAAGCTCACACAGCATGTGACTGAGAATGCACACTCCATGTACAGAGGACACTAACAGGCACAGACAGACTGACTGCGGCCCCATGCTTCCCACAGAATCACAAAAGTGCCAAATTAGAAATGAGAAAAATACTGCATCCCAACACTCGTGTATACGTTCTGTTGCATCTCTAGGACCGGAAGTGAAGGAAATCCTCCTCAACTCTATACAAAGAGAAGGAAATAAACACATAGAGGGGAATTTATCAAAACTGGAGCTGACAAAATCTGGAGCAGCTGTGCACGGCAACCAATCGGCTTCTCTCTTTTATTTTCAAATCTTAACTGGACAAATTGAAGAGAGAAGCTGATTGGTTGCCATGGGCAACAGCTCCAGATTGGTCTGCTCCAGTTTTGATAAATTCCCCTCATAGGGTTTTTACCCTTTTCTATTGTTCCCAAAACAAACAAACACAAAGTTGGGCTTTAAATACACATTAACAGCGCCATTCATTGGAAACACCTGAGCTCAATCATTGGAGGGCTATCCACATTAATTTGGCCACGCACTGTAGGTAGGTATGATAGCCAGTTGGCCATATGCTGTATACCTTTCTATAGTTTTATACCCCACTTTAATCTCCTGCATGGCATGGTTCTCTCCATGAATCACAAGTAAATCATTTCACATGGGAAAATCCTGAAGAGAACAACCACAGACAAAATAATCTTGTGAGTTGTTCCATCAAAATAGGTCAATATCACTAACCTGCTCTAAAACAAATTCTGAATCACCCACAAAAGTACACAGTTGCCTAAAATGTCTTTGATTGCTGCAGCAATACCAGTACCCTTCACTGGAAACACCTGAGCTCAATAATTTGGAGGGGCATCCCACACTTCTGGCCATATAGTGTGAAGCCCCTACCACCTTTTGTGAAGTGGCTACTAGACATTTTGTGTTGCCAGTGCTGTAGTCAGTCTGGCTGATTTATAGTTGACATTTATCTGGTGTATTCAAGGTGTTCTGACATTGATTGTACCTGCCTGAGTGGGGTGTGACCCTGCTGCAGTGTTGGAAAGCCAATGGGGAACATTATGAGTGTGTGTGGCTCACCAGCCAATCACTGGTGGTTTAATGGCCAGTGGTGCATTCTGGGAAAGTGCATTCCAGTGGCCAGTGGTGCTTAGTTCTGGTCTAGTCTAGAGTCCAGCCCAGGCTGGGGGCAGGAATGCTCAATTGCAGGAAATGTTTAGCTAGGCCTCAAGCCTGGGGGAGGCCCCCTATGTTGATTGAGGAGGGGAACCAGAGAAGCTGATGGCTGATGGAGGTGCCCGCTACTGGAATGGACCTCAGGAGCAAGTGTGATGACTCTCCTACTGAATATCTCATGCCTATCTCTCTTCAGCTGTTGCTCAGATACCCAGTGTCACCCTGTGCT